TGATTTTGAAGACCCATTTGTTACTAATTGGCTTCTTTCCTTGTGGTAGTGGCACAAGGTCCCATATATTATTTTTATAAAGGGCTTCAATTTCTTCTTGCATCGTCATCATCCACAGTGAAGCATCTGAGTTGTTTATTACCTCCTGGTATGTTGATGGCTCACCGTCCTCTGTTAAAAGGCAGTATGCAATATTACCTTCTATAACATAATCTGAGTGCCAATTGGGATGTCTTCTCATACGATCTGATTGACGAGTTGTTGCAGCTTCAGAACTCTCTGGTTCTTGTTCATCATGTACTGGTTCTGCTTCAAAAGAATCTCCTTGTTCAAACTTTTTTTCCACATGTATCTGAGTAGTCTTTGACTTTTCAGCGCTATCATCGTCTTCTTTTCTTTGTAGTTTATCTTCTACAAAGATAACATCTCTACTGATGATCACTTTGCGGGCAGTGGGATCCCACAAGCGATACCCCTTTACTCTATCAGCATACCCCAAGAATTTGCATTTCCTGGATTTTGGATCCAACTTTGAAATTTCTTGGGAGTTGTACATCACGTACACTATACTTCCAAATACATGGAGGTTTGAATAATCAGCTGGTTTTCCAGTCCACATCGCTATTGGTGTCTTCAGCTATATTGCAGTTGATGGAGCTCGATTCACTAAATAACAGGTGGTATTGACTGCTTCTGCCCAGAATGATTTTTCTAGGCATGCATCCCTCAACATTGCTCTTGTTCTTTCTAACAAGGTTCTGTTCATTCGCTCTTCCACTCCATTTTGTTGAGGAGTGTTCGCCACTGTGAACTATCTTTTGATGCCTTCTTTCCTGCAAAAGTCATCAAATTCTTCGCTTGTGTATTCTCCTCCATTATCTATTCTGAAACACTTGATCTTATTTTCAGAATTAAGTTCCACCCACGCTTTGAAGTTTTTGAAAGTTGAAAACACGTTTGACTTCTTCTTAATAGGGTGCACCCAACATCTCCTGGAGTAGTCATCAATAAATGAGACAAAGTATTTTGCTCCACCTAGGGATGTTACTGGTGCTTGCCATACGTCAGAGTGAACCAATTCTAGAACACTTTTGCCTTTATAATTTGATGTGTTGAATTTCAACCGGTGCTGCTTACTTGTTATGCAATGCTCACACAAAGTAAGTGATACCTTTGTTAAGCCTGGAAGTAGCTTTTGCTCCACAATGACTTTCATTCCTTGTTCTGACATGTGTCCAAGTTTCTTATGCCATAGCATTACAGAAACTGAACTACATGAGGCAATAGAGGCTTCTGCTTCTAGCAATGTGTCTCCCTTCAGCATGTACAAGTTTGCAGTTATCTTTTCACCTTACAGCACCACAAGCGCTCCACGGAACACCTTCATGATTCCTTTCCGTGTTTCAATCTTGCTAGCATTATTATCCAACAATCCGTAGGATAATAAATTTTTCTTCAGACCTTTCATGTGCCGCTCATCTCGAACAACTTTAATTGTTTCATCATACATCTTCAATTTGATGGTTCCCAGGCCAACGATCTCTAAGGCATGATCATTGCAACTATACACATATCCTCCTGAGACAGGTTCATAATGATGGAACCATTCTCTTCTTGAGGTCATGTGATATGTTGCTCCCGAATCAATGAGTCATATATCTGCAAATCATTTTCTTCATTCCACGGTGGTTGACGCTTCACAGCATAGAGCATCTCCATCATCTGAAGTGTTTGCGGTATTGCCTTATGGATTGGAGTTTTTATTTAGACTCCAACAATCCTTCTTTAAGTGACCCTTCTTTCCACAGTTGTAATACTTTAAATTCTTCTTGCTTCTCGACTTCGATCTACCATGTTTGTGACTGCTGCTTTGGCCACGTTTTGTTGATCTCCCTCTCATCATTGTCATCGTTGTCAACGCTTCTGCTTGTTGCAGATTTATTTGTCTGTCTTCCTTGTTCTTGCGCCGATTTTCTTCTTGTAGAACAGCAGCTGCAACGTCATCGAAGACTAGACTGGTGACATTACTGTTTGTCAAGTTGATGATGAGTTGATCATACGAATCCGGTAGACTTTGAAGTAGAATTTCAGCACGTTCTTGTTCTCCTATTTTACAGCTTAAGGATGTAAGCTAAGAAAATAAAGTGTTTAGTGTATTTAAGTGCTCCGTCACTGAAGTAGATTCTGGCATACGGAGAGTGTACAATTTTCTCTTAAGGAAAATTTTATTGTGCAGCGATGTGGCCTCGTACAGTTTGGTGAGATGATCCCATATCTCCTTAGCTGTCTTCTTCTCCTCGATACTTGACAATACTTCATCTGCTAATGCTAGATGAAAGTTTGTCATAGGATTTTCGTCCATTTCGATCCATTTTTTGTCGTCTGTGAAATCTACTAGTCTTTCGCTGATAGCTGCTAGACAACCGTCTTTCCTCAGGATGGCCTTCATCTTCAATTTTCACAATGAGAAATTTCTCCCATTGAACTTTTCAATATCAAATTTCGTTGTCATTGCTTCGTTTACGGATAGCTCCCACTATTTCACTATCGTGAATAGTTCTGTGGAACCTTCAAAGAATGGGTAATAACTTCTTACTTTCTTATGTTGGAGGATCCGCCTTTTGGTGGCAACCACAAAGACAATAAGCAGATATTACACACTCTAATCTGGCTCCGATACCAATTGTTGTGGAAGACAGCTATCGGATAGAATAAAATCGCAACTAATAATTTGAGAAAATAAAAATGAAGATAAAATAGACACAAAATTTACGTGGAAAACCCCTAAATAATATAGGGTAAAAACCACGGGCAACGGTAGAAGAATTTCACTATGAGGAAAAATAGGAATTACAACCTCTCTCGATCTACCAAGGAGAAAACAATGATAATTCTCTCTTGATAAAAAGGATAAAATAACTCTCAATAAACTCTCTAAATTCTCTCTAGTATTGGAAGAAAACTAGAATGTTTTGGGATGGTTTTGAAGCTAAATGAGCTAGGGTATTTATAGTTGAAGCTTTAAGGACTAATTTGTAAATACCCTAAATTACAATGACTAATTGCATAGTTTTACCATCCAAAATTTTTAACAATTTGATGGGCAAATTTGACCAATTTTGCCGTCCCATTAATGCCATCAAATTGTCACCCATAATATTAACTAATGATGTAATTTGGTGTGCCAATTTTCAACAAAAACCTTCATCTGCAAATCACAAACCATGAGGTTTGCGGTTAACTTTTCACAGGAGGAGGCCGAGAATGAGTTCAAATTGTAAGGCAAACCACCTTTGGAAAATGACTCAAGTTTGGGACAGTTGCATATCTTCAATGAGTTTAGAGACGAGGAAGAGAACCTGATTAGGTCACTCTGCAACTGAAACTGACAGATAATTTATATTACATCCTTGTATATTAAGATGATTAAGTTTTGGTAATTGATTGCAGAGAATAGCAGCTAAATGATACCTGCAATGTGTGCAGGGAGGCATAACTTGACCACATTGGCAATTCTAGTCTCTTGCACATCATGATATCAAGTCTTTTCAAAGTGGACAACGTCGCATCTTGATGTGACGGCGGAGATGGACAATAGCTTGTTTTTAAGCTCTTCTAATCAAAGGCGATGTATTGTCTCTATTGATTGCAGAGAATAGCAGCTAAATGATACCTGCAATGTGTGCAGGGAGGCATAACTTGACCACATGGCATTCTAGTCTCTTGCACATCATATCAAGTCTTTTCAAAGTGGACAACGTCGCATCTTGATGTGACGGCGGAGATGGACAATAGCTTGTTTTTAAGCTCTTCTAATCAAAGGCGATGTATTGTCTCTTCAGGTAGAGATTGGTGAGTGGAGCATCCTCTGATTGTAAACTTGTACAATCCAGGAACAACATGCTTCACAGACACCTTATCTGAATATCCTAAATGCAATTCATAGATGGTTGGAAGTGAACCATGAGTTGCTGACAGTCAATGATCATTAATTTTCTCAATGAAGACAGTCCGTCCCCCCCCCCCCCGGAACCCCCAGCTGGGGACATTTCCTTATATGAAGCTCTCGGAGACGTGGCAAATATCCTTCTTCAATATCAACTCAATAAGGTGCCCTTTGTCCTTAAATGTTGCCTGCAAAGCATCTCTTGGATTGACAACATCTTGAACATGAAAACAGTTCTACTGCCTGTAAGGTGCTGAAGCTCCTCTAATTCTCAAAGGCTAGATCAATGGATCCGCAAAATAAAAGCAGATAGTGTTTCTAGATTTTCAAATTAGCTCATTTGTATTGGCATCCCTTTGTCTCAGTGTCCCAATAATATCGAGGTGATGCAAGTCGACAAGTCTTGCCATTTTGTTCGACAACTGATAGAGTGAGCCACAGTCAGTAAATAACAATGTCAGCAGATTGTACAAAGCACATACGTCCTACGGCACTCTCAATTGCAGTGCATGACAAATCCAATTAGTGGAGAGGGGGCAAGTCTCCGACAGAAGCAGGCAAATCATACTTGAAGTTAAAACCTGCAAGCATTTTAATGTTGGCAATAGATCACGATATACTCGGTAAGGTGGTAGTTCAAACCAATGAAAGGGGTTTAGAGGTAGGAAGGTTCACAGATGTTTTCATGAACGCATCGACCGTTCGGAAATCATTATAAGTAGTTTCGGAATATTTAACAATAAAAAGTGAATATTTTGATATCAATATTGGTATGAATGACTATTGGTGACGAACAATGTTTTATCGATAGCAACGACCAAATGAGTTGATGAATTCTACAGATAAGAAAGATAATGACATTGTCCTCGTGTTGTTAATGATTCAACATCCCAGTTACCAAGAAAAACTAAGTTGAAAATTTTAATGATAAAATTAAAAATAAAAGTCTAAAGTTCAATGTTTAGTGATAGTTTGTTTTTCTTCAGAAAAACATTTATTAATGATGTAGTTTACCCTTTAATTAAACCAACTGATTGAACCATTGCACACTAAATACCGTAGCCAAAGTTGATTGAATGAATAAGTTTGGCATTCATCAGTCCCAAAACCTCCATTACTTCTTTCAATAAAACAATGTTACACCATGGGTAATATTCATAATTTATATACAATTCATAGCATACAGAGTTCAACCTGTAAGTGAAAACATTGTTTGGGACCAAACATGGAGATTCTATAGAAAGGATGGATACCCAAGGCTAAATTAAAGGGAAAGAAGAATCTAAAACAACTGCAAATGCATCCCCTCAGCCACTCTTCTCAGGGTTTGTATCATCGGAGGGCCAAACCACAGTTTCCATTAACCGCTCGTGCATCAGCTCCAAGTTCTCTTCCGAAATCTCGTTGTATATTTGAGCATAATCACATTTCTATAGATAAACATACATGCATGCATGCATGCATGCATACAATGTCAGGGGATACTGCAACTTCTTTATGTAAAAACTAGTGAGAGATGTTCAATTTACCTTAATCCCTTTGCCATACAGATGAAGCCGTGTTATCATCACTCTTTCAGCAAGCTCTTGATTCTCCTATGAGTGACATATACATCAGTTCTACATGAGGTCAGCTGGTTTGATTTTGATATTACGTTCTTCTAATATTAGATTCCTATTCGAATTTTGATATTACATTCTTCTAATATTAGATTCATGTTCGAATTTATCCTAGTTTGCTTAATAGATAAATATTTTGTTTGCTTGTTTATAAAGTAACAGGTAACAAACATTACAAGTGGCGGAAATAGAATGAAATTGTTCAATATTTTGAATTATTATCTTTAAAAAATTCAAAAAAAAAATAAAAACCCTACAACTTGTTTAAAAATAAATATGGGATAAAGAATTTGAAAATATATCAAGATGATGAATAAAGGTTATTCTATGTCAATCAACTTCAATGGTTAAATGGATGGTTGTTATTTTTAGATGTTTTAGAGACTGCTGAGTATTTGAGCATTCATCATCAAATGGTTAAGAGTCTTTTGAATATATACTATCAATTATAATCACTCTAGATTAATAAAAAAAATAAAAAATTGAAGTAATATAGATTTTAGGTATTTGAATGCGGACCTAGGATTTTATGCTAGGGGCTAACTTTTATAATTTTAAGGGAAAGGAAATCTATAAAATAATTTAAGAGGCATAATGATAAAAAAAAAAGTATACTTGAGGACGCAAATCAGCCTTTAAGCGAAAATTAAAAGAGAAAGAGTACCTTACCCGGAATCTGTTTGTGCTTTGTATAATTTGCTGACACTGTTATTAGCATATTGTGGTTCACTCATTCAGTTGCCGATCTACAAACACCAGCTGCTTTTATACAAATGGGAAAACTTGTCAACTTGCGTCGCCTTGATATTAGCAGGCTCTAGCCTTTCAGAACTTGGGGAGCTTCGGCAACTTAGAGGCAGTCTAGCTATTTTCAATCTTCAAAATGTTGTCGATCCTAGAGAAGCTTTGGTGGCAAAATTTAAAGACAAAGAGTACCTTACCGAGTTGATGTTGAAATGGAGTGGTCATACTCTTGATACATCTACTGAAAGAGATGTACTGAGAATGCTTCAGCCTCATACAAACTTGGAAAAGCTATCCATTGAATCTTATGGTGGCACAAAATTTCCTGATTGGTTAGGGGATTGTTCATTCTCAAACATAGCATCTTTGCAGCTTAGCCATTGTAGATACTGCTTCTTATGGCCACCACTTGGGCAATTACCATCCCTCAAAGAGCTTTTTATCATTGGATTTGACGCTGTTGAGAGGGTCGGAGTTGAGTTCTACAGAAACGGATTATCTACAGTCAAGCCCACTAGGCGGCTTTGAAATTTTATGGTTTGAGAGGATGTCGGAGTGGAACGAATGGCTTTTCTTCGAAAAAGATGCTGAAGAAGGATATTTTCCACATCTTCAAGTGCTTCATATACAGAAATGTCCCAAGCTAAGTGGGGCTCTGCCGGACTACCTTCCTTCATTGAGAAAATTAATGATCATTGATTGTCGGTAACTCATGGATTCACTTCCGCATACTCCAACCGTCTACTAATTGCATTTAGGGTATTCAGATAAGGTGTTTTTGAAACATATTCTGCCTGGACTGCACAAGTTTACAATCAGAGGATTCTCCACACTTGAATCTCTACCTACAGGATTAATGCGTTCCCTTAGTTTACGAGGGCTGACAATCTGTGATTGCCCATCTCTTTCGTCGCTTCAAGATAGTATGATGTCCACTTTGAAAAGACTTGATATCATGTGGTGCAAGAGACTAGAATTGCATATGTGGTCAAGTTATGCTTCCCTGCAAACATTGTGGATGTCCTTTAGCTGGCTTTTCTCTACAATGGTTATCCCTTGTTCCCGTATGTAATGGGGTAAGGAGAGATAAGATAGTAGGCTACCCCCAACATTAAGTTGAAAGCAGCTTCCGTAAAAGATCTCCAAATTATGAAATGGCTTCTATAGGATTCGATCCCACCTCAAGGTTAAGAACCTTGTATTCTACCAACTGAGCTGAATGATTATTTCCCAAATATCCGAATAAGAGGATATAATTTAAATTCTCTTTCGGTTTCAGTTTCAGAGGGCCTTAATCTGGTTCTTCCATCTCTCAACTCCCTCATAAGTCATAATCAGTTTGAGCCCAAAATTTGAGTCTTTTCCAGTAGGTGGGTTGCATGCTCCTAATCTCACAATCCTTGAAGTTTCCGACAGTATGGAGCTAAAATCGCTGCCTGAAAATATGCACTCCCTTCTTCCGTCGCTGAACTCGTTGAAGATACGCAACTGTCCCGAACTTGAGTTATTTCCTGAAGGTGGTTTGCCTTCGAATTTGAACTCATTCTCTGTCTCCTTTTTGTGAAAAGTTTACTTCAAGCTTCAAGCACTGGGATTTGCAGAGACTTGGCTCCCTTAAATACTTTAGCATCCGGGGAAGATGTGAAGGTGTTGATTCTTTTCCAGGGGAAGGTTTTCTGCATTCAACACTAACATTTCTTTACATTGCTGAAACTCCCAACTTGAGATCACTCAACAACAAAGCACTCCAACATCTCAACTCCCTTAAAACTCTCAAAATTCGTTGATGCCCTCACCTTCGATCTATGTCCGGTTCGGAGCTGCCAGAAGCCCTCTCTGTTTTAACAATTAAGGACTGTCCTTTGTTGAAGGAAAGGTTGCTGAAAACAAAGGGGAAGATTGGCCTAAGGTTGCTTTGGTCCCCATAGTTGAAATTGATGATGTGGTTATATGAGCTTAACACATCAGCTGCACAAAAGTTTCATCATGGTAGTAACTTGCAACATGTATAAATTCATATAATCCCATATCTGTAAACTGCAATTTGTTATCTATTTGCAATTGGATGCTTAACATATTATGTTATAAATACGTTTAAAATATGATGTATTTATATAAATTTTGACATGATGTAATCTTGTAGCTGATTGGGGTAGGCTGTTATTTGAAGCTGAGTTTAGTATGAAGCCCATATCAGTAGGCCAACTTCACTTTAGCCCAAACCATAGTAAATCCAGAACGGTTCTCTCGTTTAATCGTCTCCTTCCCTAAAAACACAGACAAATATCGCATAAAAGGGTAACTTCAAATCTGGGTTTCCTTCCTTTGAATCGCCTCATTTTTTTTCTTATTTTCCTTCCCACCATATTCTTGTTTCTAATTATTGGGTAAATCGCTGTCCCAACATAATCAGACTCTTCTTCCTTCCCCTTTTCACTTTTCCTTAATAAGAGAAGAGTAAAGTTTAACATGTTCTACAGAGGGTAAAGTTCACTTTGCCATTATTCTTTTTTTATTCTTACGTGTTCTGATTCATATCTGTGATTTTATTTTCTGAGCTTTTTTCTTTTAATCTGTTCTCTGAATTTTTTGAGTCTGGATTTATGAATTTTACAGTTGCGTTTTATTTTTTTGATTTCCTCCTTTTTCTCTTGGATTGTAATTTATGCGTACCTCAATTTTGGCCGTGCTGAGAGAACTAAAAGAAAAAAAAATGAAAAATTTGAGAGAATGGGATGGGCATCGAGCTTAAATGGCTTAAGATAATAGTTATAGAATTGATTCTTTTATTTTCCCTATTTTAATCTTAAACACTGGTTCCAGAGGCATTAGAAGGCAAATTATTGTCTCTATTAATTGTTTATGTAAGTTTTCTGCTTGTTCTATGAAGCACCATCAGCTTAAAATGAGTTGATCCTTTTCCTCAGCTTTTCTCGTTTACCAGCAAGTTAGACATCTGTTTTGCACTTCAATTTGCTTGGTTTTGTAGGTTTGCATTAGTAGTTTTAGTGTTTTGAGCATGGTGACATTTTTCTGGATGCTAATGTTTGGAAGGCAAGTCACCCTGCAGTGCATATGAAGCTTACCCAAGGTTCCATAATACGTGTTGGATACCGTTTTTAAACTTTAGCTAACAGGTTTTTCGGTCTTTGGTGCGTATAAATGTATGCCGCCTTTACGTCATGCTTTAAAACAATATAAGATATCATGCTCATGTTTGAATCTCAACAAATCTCATAGGTTTGAGAACTTTCCCGTCCAAGTACCCTTGTTAACTTTCTGAGTTAATGTCGATACATGCCCAGAAGTCCACACTCGACCACCCCCTGCATTTCTGTAATTCTTAGCGTCCAAGTTTCCATGGGCTCCTAGAGCCCTAGTGCACCATCTTATATTTTGTACTATTCATGATTAGATCCTAGGCTCCTTGAGACTTAGAGGGAGATTTCAGTTACATGGGGCTTATATAAACCTTTAATAGTCAACTGTTTAACGAGTATTTTGGTTGGTAATTGCTCAAATATATAAAATGTGATTAGTCTTTTGAATTGAGTGTAACTAAACTGAAAAGACTATATAATCAAATTGATGAGTCACTTTATTTATGGTTAGCTGTGAATTATATAAAATTAATGCCATATATTTGATTTTTCTTTTTTCTTTGAATCACTGAAAATACAAGTGTCAATCCTTGCATTGCTATCCTATTGAGTTTTAATTACCAGTGTTAAAGAATATATATCAATATTTATTGAAGTATTGACTGGTCTTCTGTATTGCCTTCATGATCTTTGGAAAACGAAGTAAATATACTGATGGAGCTGATGTGCATGAAATGGGCGCAAAACGTCAGCGGATCATTGGTCAAGGCCCTTCATTCTATGGTAATTCACCAGGTTCAAGCTTTATGTACACTGCCCCTCCTCCTTCTTACTCATATGTCAGCCAACCTCCACCTTTCCCTGTCGTTCGACTTCGTGGTCTTCCCTTCGATTGCACAGAGGTTGATGTGGCCGAGTTCTTCCATGGTCTGGACATAGTTGATGTCCTTTTTGTCCACAAAAATGGAAAGTTCAGTGGTGAAGCTTTTTGTGTTTTGGGTTATCCTCTTCAGGTTGATTTTGCCCTTCAAAAGAACAGACAAAACATGGGCAGGAGATATGTAGAGGTTTTCAGAAGCAAGAGACAGGAATATTACAAGGCAATAGCCAATGAAGTGGCTGACGCTCGTGGCAGTTCACCTCGCAGAAACGCCCCAAGGGCCAAATCTAGTGATGAAGCAAAGGAATCCGCCGAACATACGGGGATATTGAGACTGAGGGGATTGCCGTTTTCTGCTGGAAAAGATGATATAATAGACTTCTTCAAAGATTTTGTGCTATCAGAAGATGCAATTCATGTGGTGTTGAATTCAGAGGGGAGGCCAAGTGGAGAGGCATTTGTGGAGTTTGAAAATGCAGAAGATTCGAAAGCCGCAATGGCCAAGGATAGGATGACGCTGGGGAGCCGTTATATCGAGTTGTTCCCTTCGTTTCCTGAGGAGATGGATGATGCAATTTCCAGAGGAAGGTGATTCTTCTGAAAATGTTTTTATTTGCTATTCTAAACTTATCTTTGGGGCTGGAAAATTTTCTTTAGTAGTTTTCTTGGGTTAGAAAGATAAAGTGTTACTGTCCGGTACCTGTGAGTTATATGCTATTATGGGTTAAATACAAGAAGCTACTATCTTTCATTAGGCTTTTTATGGTATACTTGTAGTCTTTGATTGTGGCCCGGCAAACTGATCACTTGGTTGCAAGTCCAACTTCCTCTGGACAGTTTAGGGCAATTAGCTGACAGTAGCATTATTTTGATGTTAGGCATGACTTGTTTCCATTATTTATAATCTTCAAAATGAAATTTGTTTTGATATTTTGTTCCTTCCAAGAAGTGTCCCCAGAGCATGTTTTTGAAATTCCCCAACTTGTTGAAACGGTCTAGACATAATTTGATAACATTAAAAAATAGATCGGTTATTTTAAATCTTCTAATTTCATATTATTCGTATAATTTTTAGATTATTTTAAAAATATAATGACTAAAATTGGCCAAATTAAAATACAATGATTAATCTATAACTTGTGCACATATTATGATGACCAATACCAAAATTTTAGCCAAATTAATCTTATTGTTAGCAAAATTAAAATCAAAATGATAAATTTAGCCCAAAATGTTTACCTCTATTATTTTGACCATTATTTGTTTTAAATTAAATTTAACCCTCAACCTTTTAAAAAGAGTTGGGTGTTATTTTAAATAAAATTATTAATTAAAATATTAAATTTTTAGTGTGATAGATCTGAAATTAAAGGACTAGATCTAAAATTTTCATACTTTATTTTAAATAAATTTGGGTATATAAATTTTCTTAATTTTTTTACTTTTATTAACATATTAAATTAAATTTAACATTTTTTAAAATAACGAATGTTGAATTATTTCCTTGGGGAGTCCCGCACACATGCTCCTGATATTCTACATGGAGTGCCAAGTATATTCCCGGATATATTGGGGATGGGTGGGGGCCATATTCTCTTTAAATTTTTTTATATTTTATATTTTTCTATTAGTAATTTATTTTAATCTTTTAAAATTTTATAAGTTCGTCACCTAACACAAAATCTTTTGTTCATACTTAATATATTCCATGTAATATTTTTAAACAAGTTTCTTTCTAATTTTTTTTTTAAAAATTGAATATATTTATAAATTTAAATTATTATTATTCCTATGATATTAAGGATTAAGTTTATTATTATTTCTCAAAAAAAATACTGTTATTATTCCCAAAATATATCTACCCCTTTCCCAACGGACTAATGTTTAGGGCAGCTCCATAAAAAAAATATAGACAAAAGGATACATGAGGTCCTTATATTTGTCCCAAAAAATCAATGTAGCCTTTGACATTTTTTTCACTTAATGTGGTCTTTGAATTTATAAAAAGAACCCAATGTGATCATTTGACCAACGTTTTCCGTCGTTTACTGTTACGATGTTGATGTGGCACTTCACAGTGCTAACATGGTGATCTACAATGATGACATGGCAGTCCACAGTGACTGGTGATGTGGTAGATGGGCTAAATTGGTTTTTTTAAGTTCAAAGACTAAATTATTTTTTTTCAAAAGTTTAAGGGCTTATTTGATTTTAAAAAAAATAAAAATATTTTAAATTTAAAATATAAAAATATCCAAAATTTTAAATATAATAATACCAAAACTAAAAATTAAATTACTAAAAAAATTAAAAATATATATTATTTTGTTTTAAAAATAAAAATTAAATAAAACTCATATCAAAATTTGCCTCTAAATTCTAATATGAATTTTATTTTATTTTTATTTTGTTGAGATGTATTTGTTATTTCTTGATTGTTTTTAAAAATAAATATTTAAATTACAAAAAAAAAACTCGAACACATGAAGTTCATATCTTCCTTGATTTTATAAAGTTGTATCTAATAGAATTTGGTGGCATAATGTGATATTATCACTTTTTCATAAGATCAAGTTTAAGTGAAGTTTACTTCCCTTTATCATGTTGTATTCACTAAAAATGTTCATCTTAATCCGATAACTATTGTTTATTTTTTAAATTATATAGTTTCATGATAATTTATAAACAAAGTAGTATTTGTTCTAAATACTCTTAACCATTTGACAATGAACGTTTAATCACCATACTACAGTAGCTAGTGCTCAAACATGTGACCTTTAGGAACAACAATGGTTCTTTTAACCACTGAGGTAAGTTGATTCATGTTTAATTCATTTAATTCATTTTTATAAAATTCCAGTGAAATAGAATTTAAAAAGACGTTTAGAATTTAAGATAATTAGATGTAAATATATAAAATAAAATTTGTGTAGGAAGAACAAATTTATATTTATATAAATAAAAGTCAAGTTAAATTCGAGGTAAAAAAAGTAATAGTATATATTTTAAATTTTGAATAATCTAATTGTTATTTTTTGTATTATTATATTTAAGTTTTTGGATATTTTATATTTTTAATTTAAAATATTTTTATTTTAAAAAAAATCAAATAAACCCTTAAACTATTTAAAAAATCAATTTAATCCTCAAACTTAAAAAAATAATTTAATCTATTTATCACATCATCAATTACGTCACTAAGTGGCAGCGGTGACCCCTGCCCAAAATCTTCCCACTCAAATATTAACACCCAACAATTGTAAGCTTGTGAAAGATGTCTCCCACTCTCCAGAGTTTCATGCTCAATAACTTTGCCTTGTCTCTTGTAATTTGATTTTCATTTGTGTTTTACAGCAAAACCCTAAGTCCATCCCTATTCACCTTCCTTTTCTTCAATCTGATGCTTGGTTTTCTATGAATCACCATCGCCTTCAAATGATCCATTTTTGGCCTGCGATTTCTTTTACTCGTCTCTCAAAAGTTTGAGGTTATTCACTTAGCTTTTGTCTCCTTACTACTTTTCAGTCAAATTCAGTAGAGCTTAGATTTAAAGCACTCACCATGTTTAACCGTTTAACAAGTACTGGGATGGAAGAATGAAGAATCTCTTCATTCACCTTGCAAAATCACTTGTTCTCTCTTTCTCCCAAGCTTAGTATTGTAACTGTTCATCCACTACAAGTTTCCTTTTGATTCTGTCTTTCAATGGCACCCACCGGCAGAAGAACATCAAGAAAAACGAGCAAGCCGCGAAGAAGTCGTCACCAAAGGAAGCTTGACAAGCCCAGTATTCAAAAGACATCAATATTGTTGGAGGATTTGCCTTCCAATTCTTCCACCATGAGCTCAGATAATCTTTCCACCAAAGGAGTTGATGATCATATAAGTCCTTGCTCTACGCCGAAAGCTCCGAGGTTTCGTATACCGAAGGTGGAAACATGCCCTCTGGCACCCAAGAAACAAAGGGTTCTCTCCAACTGCTCATTGCAATGAACACCTATTGCTTTCTTTGCTCCTCCGGATTTGTAGCTCTTCTTCTTCTTTGCACATGGGGATATCTCATTATGATGCCACAAACATAAACGCCCCTTCATTAGTTTTAAGATTAGGTGTTTCTTCAGTTTGATTTTACTGAGTACAGTTCAAGAACTTCTTTTATGAGTGATCTAGGAAGAGTAGGGAGAGGGAAAAGTTGGTAGCTATTTTGCTTAGTTTTTTAGCAAATTTTTGTTGGGTTTTCAAGTTTGTAGGGTATGCTAATCACTACATTTAGCTGGGGCTCCCTCTCCAACTAAGTTTAGCTTTAATTCCTTCTTTTTTATATATTTTTCAAATGTATTGTGTCGTAACCGTTTTTCGGGTGGGCCCGAAATTGGGCTTCGACTTGGATTAAACGAATTGGAGTCGTCACCGATCATTTATTTTAAAGCAAATGGGTTGATCGGATACCCTATTTCTTACCTGATCTGCGTCTTTTCAAAGATGTGTCAGATTCGGGAGTCGGTTACAATCAAGGAAGGGTTAGCATCCTTGAACTGCCCTTTCGGTACTACAAAATTTTCAGTTGTCTTAAATTAAGAAAATTGTAATTTAAAATTAAAAGGTAAAAATATGATCACAATTACTTACCTTAGATAGTTTTAAAGGTATACCCTTAAGAGAGCCAAGAAACATGTTAGATAAAAAGGTAAGAAATAAATAAATTAAATTAAAATGAAGAAAAAATAAATTAAATAAAAGATAAGATAAAGAAAAACAAAAATAAAATAATAAGTAATATATAAAATATATAAAAAAAGAAAAAGAAGAAAAATATATAAATAAAACAAATAAATAAAATAATAATAAAAAGTAAAAATAATATATATATATATATATATAATCTAAAAAAATAAAAATATATACTAAAGTAAAAAAATGTATAAAATGTAAAAAAATATTACACGAAAAAAAAAGAAAAGAAAAATAACAAAGCAATTAAATAAAATGAGTAATAAGGAAAATGTGCGTATAAATAAAGTTAAATAAATAAAATAATAATAATTAAAACGTAAATGTAAGGGATCGAATCAAAAGGAAAAACAAATCGATGGGCAAATTTTGAAGAAAAAAATTGATTTAGGGGGAGAATTGAATATTTAAAAATAGGAACTCGCCTCGGGGGTAGATCTAGGTTCGAAACTTCGAAACCCACCCCTTTTTGGTCATCAACGCAACCCACGTTTTGGGTTATTCGAACCAAATCTCAAGAAAAATAACATGCACGTGCGAGAAATGAACAAATCAAGGTAAAAAAAATATGTTACCTTTTATTTCCTTTTCGAATCGTTTACAATAGTTTTGCATTTGTATTTTTACGTGCTTTCCTCTGTATTTTGTATGTAAATCGTGTGTTACAATAGTGAGTTACAATGGCTATTTATAATGCTTCTTGATCATATTTTTAGGAGTTTGAATCATAGTAGAACTCTATCATATTTTTAGGAGTTTGAATCCTAGTAAAATTCTATCATATTTTTAAGAGTTTGAATCCTAGTAAAACTCTAACGCTATGTTTGTTTTATGAATCCCACTAAATCAGGGTTGTTGAGAGTGTTGTACCCGAACAAAAAGGTATGTTGACAGCTGTCCCTCTTTGCCCATAGTCGTGTAACAGGGGTAGGGCAAAGATTAAAAGACATTTTTCGTTTGGTGGAGTTGAAAATTGACTCTGATGTTTCAATAACTCCCTGTCGAATTGAGTTGCAGATGACTCCTCCGTCATGAAGTCGAGTTCATGATATGGAATTAAAGTCGTAGTTCGGAATTTGAATCGGCACGTGGCTTCTCGTTACCCTTCGGTCTTCTTCTTGGATCGGAATCGAACTCATAAA